CCCAGCAGAATCGGGGCCCAGGACCTAGTAGCCCTACCCTTCAGACTCTCACACATTTGTTCCAGGCAAGTGTTCGGAGTGGCCTCTCATTCAAGTATGACCTGGAAAAGGATTTATTTGCATTGACAACTCACCCACCCCTGCTTAGACTCTTCCCACCAAGTCTTACCCCAGCACAGCCTGTTCCCTGAGTCTGGGTGCGATATTCCCCCAGTCACACAGTGGTGGTGATACAGGCTCCACAATGATTGGAACAGCCACTCTTGTCCTGGATGCTTGCCTCTACCTTCCTGGTCCTGTTAGGAGCCTCAGTGGCCTGGAGGAGGCCACAGGGATCCAGCCACAACATTATAGCCTAGGGGATAGAGACCATTCCCAGATAAACTTAATTTTCTAGAGGAACCCAGGATGCCTTAAGCTAGAACTAACACCTAGGTATCTGAATATAGAGGTAGACAGGATTGGTTATAATCATATAGTTAACTCTCTTTCTTTGTCTCTTCCCCCATATATGTGCGTGCCCATGTGTGTGTTTAAGACAGACAGATAGATTGACCCATTGTGTGATCTAGGCCAGCCTCAAACTAAAAATATCTCCAGTCTCTGCCTCCCAAGTGCTGAGATTTACAGGCATAGAGCATACTAATTATTCAGGAGTTTCTTGAGCCTGCTTTCAGAATTTTTGATGTGGGATCCCCCTCTGTATGCTGTGAATATGTTTTATTACTACTGGTTTATAAAGAAGCTGCTTTGGCATATGGCAGGGCAAACTACAGGTAGGCCTGTAAAAATGCAGGGAGAAAGAAGGCAGAGTCTGGGAGACACCATGTAGCTGCCAAAGGAGACAGACGCCAGAACCTTACCGGTAAGCCACAGTCTCTTGGTGATACATGGATGAATATAAGTGGACTAATTTAAGATGTAAGAGCTAGCTAGAAATACGCCTGAGCCATTGGTCAATGTTGTAATTAATATAGTTTCTGTGTGATTCGGGTCTGGGTGCCTGGGAGATGAACAGTCTCCATTTACAAATTTTTCCAGTTATTAATCCCCCAGTCCACACAGTACTCACTGAGGAATGTGACTCCACAAAAGTGTAGGCTGGGAACAAGAAATAGCTCTGTGCACTCATAGCTCTAGGCCCTGTGAGACAGTGGCATGTTGACAGGAATGCTAGGGAGCCCCTCCTCTGAATAAGAAGTGAGTCTGGATGGGCCCTGGGCTGGCTTCAGATATTGCCCTGAGACAGGGCTCCCCAGAGACTCCTGGGGCTCCTCTGCCATCTGCTATGGCCTCACATATCACTTCCCATATGTTAGGCCTTCCCCTGAGAGAAGCTGATAGCAGACAGAAGTACAGCCATCACACTGGCCCCATCCAGGGAGCACGGGTCCTTTCATTTCCTCCTTGTAGTCCAATGCATCAGTGACATTCAGAGCCACCAGCTACCTGTCTGAGCCTGTGCCCCAGGTGGAGGGAGCATCCTACGCTGTTGTGGAAAAGGCTTTTTACTCAGCCTGCCTTGTCCTAGCCTTCTGGGACACATAATAGGGGTTGGATCTGAGAGGAAAAACAGACCTGGGGTTCCTTTCCTCACCAGGGAAGACATCCCTGACCTATAGGTGTTCTGGGCCTCTGATGATGCAGAGTAGAACCCTGGACCACCTTACTGGGTATCCCCTCACTCACAGGTTCACTGCACTCGGTCTTTCTCCTGGTACAGGCTGCAGACAATTGCCGGGAGGTTGCACTGGCATGCCATCAATAATTGATCCCGCCGAAGGGGGGTGGAGCCGCGGCTAATGAGAGTCCTGCTCAGTCATCGGGAACCCGGGCCAGCGGCTCCAGAGAAGACCTGCTGCCTATTTGGCAAGGCTACCCTACCGAGATCCCCGCTGCCTACTGTAGGCCAGGGATTTGTAAGCTTGGAGGAGGTCCACCAGCCAAGCACTGTTGAGCACAGCATGAGCCAGCAGGGCCGGAGAACTACTGTGTTGATGCTGTTGCTCCATGTCCCTGAAGATGACAGATGACATGATGGATAACAGATGGATAACACAGCCACATCCCACTTGAAAGAGAGCCTTCCTCTTGCCTCCAGCAGGGATGGAGATAGGGGTGATGGCTGGGTAGAGAAGGAGTTAAAAAAAAAAAAAGGTTTTGGGTTTTCTTTTCTTTCTTCTGGAAGGCCACTCTAGGGCAGTGGTCCTAAACCTTCCTAATGCTGTGACCCTTTAATACAGTTCCTAGTGTTGTGGTGACCCCCAACCATAAAATTATTTTCATTGCTGCTTCATAACTGTCAGTTTGCTACTGTTATAAATCTCTTTTTTATTAAATGTTTTCATTTATTTTACATACTAACCAGTTTCCCCTCCTTTCTCTCTTCCTGTTCCCTTCCCCTACCTCCCATCTATCCACCCCCGCATCTATTCCTCCTCTGTTCAGAAAGGGGCAGGCTTCCCATGGAAGTCAACAAAGTATGGCATATCAAGCTGAAGCAAGACCAAGCTCCTGCCCCTGCATCAAGGCTAGGCTAGGCAACCCTTCGTGGGAAACAAATTCCAAAAAGCTAGCTCATGCACCAGGAACAGGTCCTGATCCCACTGTTAAACAGACCAAGCTACACAACTGTCACCCACACGCAGAGAGCCTAGGTCAGTTCCATACAGGCTCCCTAGTTGTCAGCCCAGGGTCCATGAGCTCACTGTTATGCATCTTTTTGTTGTCTTGTTTTTCAAGACAGGGTTTCTCTGAAACAGTATTGGCTGTCTTGCAACTCATTCTGTAGACCAGGCTGGTCTTGAACTCACAGAAATCCACTTGCCTCCACCTCCTGAGTGCTGGGATTAAAGGCATGAGCCAACACTGCCGGGCTATAAATTTTAATGTAAATATCTGATATGCTGGATGTATCTTCATTGTCAGAAACTGACTCAAAGAGGTCGTGACCCACGGGTTGAAAGCCACTGCTCGAAGGCCTTGTTCATGTTAGCAAGCCCTCTACCGTTGACCTCAGCCTGCCTGTCTGCCTGGGATTAATCCCCAGCACCAAATAAACCAAGCATGCTGGCATATAACCTATCTGAGACCGTAGATGGACAGTGGGTACCTGGAGCCTCACGTGGGCCTCCGTGCCTGTTCTTGCAGTCAGCATCTCTCACCCACCAAAAACTCTACAAAAATATTTAAAATAAAGCTGAGTTGGAGTCTGTGAACCAGAGAGCTACCATCCTGATGAATGATGTCACCCTCCTCCATCAAAGTACTCCTTCCTGTCCCACACATAATGGTTATATGGACTGGAAACTGAAGGACCAAACCAACAAGTGAAATAGAACTTTGTCTTTTTTTTTTTTTTTTTCTTTTCAGATGACCAGGAAATAGGGTTCCAGAGGCCTGAGTTCTCATTTTGCCTGGTCCACTTATTGAATGACTCCATCAGATCATTACAGGCGGCAGCTAGTATTGATTGTGACCTCTTGAGGTCACGGCTTTTTTGGGGGAGGGAAGGTAGCGTTAGAGATTGATCCATGGGCTTATCTTGCCAAATAAGACCTCTTAAGACCTCTTCCATTGAGCCACGCCCCCAGCGAGGAGCTGGCGTTTTTACACTCATTTTAAAGCTGAATCTACTGAAGAAAAGAACATTGTTCAATAACTGTACTTCTGGGATGTCTGCCCCAATGACGCCAAAGTCAGGACACCAGCGAAATCGTTTCTTCCCCAGCAATTGCGTTGTTTACTGCCTACTGAGCCAGAGAAGGGTGAGGTAGGCGGGGAATGGGGGGGGGGGGCGGTGGACGACGACAAGAGATGAAAGAAGTCTGCAGAGGGCAGCAGAGAGCTGCACAGCTCTCTGAGTTTCTGAGCTGGGCTCCAAAGGCTGGCCAGCCCTGCCGACGTTAATGTAGACTGAATCCATGGGTGCAGAAAAGAACGCTACAGATGAGGATGAAAGTGAGTTCCGGGGACGGAAGGAGAATCACCGAGACCACACGGTCTAAGTCAGGGAGATCCTGCTAATCTAGCCGCTGATCCTGGGCTCTATTTCGTTAGAAAAGCTTGACAACTTTTTACAACCGAGGAAACAACAGCTTGTGGAGGCAGGTATTCGGTTTTATCTCAATTCTCAGGAAACTGAGGCACGGAGAGGAAAAAGTGGTCAGAGCTCAGGCTGTTCTTCAGCTGCTGAATTCTGTTTCCTTTCACGTCACCCAGCAGGCGGGTCTGGATTTCATTTTGTATAGAGGGACTCCCTACAGAGAGTATCTCTGCTATGTGCCTCAGATCCCTAAGCTTCCCTGGAAACCGTCAAAGATTTCCACTGAGTTCCGAGGCTAAGAAAGTGGTTTGTGATTCCTTCAGAGAAAGAGAGAGACCCCGAATATACTACACTGGCCTCTGGAAGTCAAAAGTCAGGATTCGAGGATAAGATGCGTTGAATGAACTGATTCCTATTTATCGCTTGGTGTAAGTCGGAGACAGCTGTGTGGGTCATTGTTAAGATTTACCCCCACTTCAGATCTCCAACACCAGAGGCTTGCTTGCTGGCACACGGGTTGTTGACATGGGCAACCCAGTCTGGCCCTGGATGTCTCATTGGGTGACCTGCCTTGGTTGTTTTCTCTGTAGTATGGACCCTGAGAGGTGTTCCCTGGGACGACCAGCCCCGAGGTTGGTAGGTACCCTGGCAGTGCAAAAAAGAGGAACCAAGCAAGTATTTCTGCTCCAGGTGTGAAGAAGAAGCCAGGGCCTCCCCAATGGAAGGATCTCTCGGAATCACACGATCTGGGGTGCTCCTGTGTCCAGAGTGGGATCAGACCGGGTAGCCGCGATCTGGGTCTGTTTCAAGGACCCAGAGCTCCGCCCGCGACGCGGCCCCTTTAAGAGGCGCGCCCGGCCCCATCAATCGCTCCACGGCCACCGCCCCCCGGTCCTCCCCTTCCTGCGGCGTTGAGTGCGGGCCCGGGCTGGAGCGCAGTGAGAGCTGGCCGGGCTGGTCGCAGCGCCTACCAGAAAGGCTGTGGGGCAGCGGGGCTGCGGGGCGGGGCGGGAACCGGAGGTGAGGAGCGTGCGGGCTGCAGCCGCGAGCCCGCGGCGGCCCTGCTTTGCGGAGGACGGCTCTCGCCGCCGCGCGCGCCGCGGAGCCCCGCACACAATAGCGGCGTGCGCAACCCCGCGCCCTTCCCCCCCGCCCGCACCCCCCACCCCCCTGCCGCCGCCGAGCCGCCTGCCTCACCTGCGGTCCCCGGGGGGGAGGGCATTGTTCGCCGCCGCCGCGGGGCCATGGGAGCCGCCGGGCGCCCCGGACCGGGCCCGGTGAGGAGGTCGCGCCGTCGCTGAGGCGGGCTCCGGCGTGCAGCCCCGCGGCGCAGGTGAGCCGGCCGGCCGCGCCATGGTGGACTCCGTGGGCTTCGCCGAGGCGTGGAGGGCGCAGTTCCCGGACTCAGAGCCGCCGCGCATGGAGCTGCGCTCGGTGGGTGACATCGAGCAGGAGCTGGAGCGCTGCAAGGCCTCCATTAGGCGCTTGGAACAGGAGGTGAACCAGGAGCGTTTCCGTATGATCTACCTGCAGACGCTGCTGGCCAAGGAGAAGAAGAGCTACGACCGGCAGCGCTGGGGCTTCCGCCGCGCTGCGCAGCCCCCGGACGGTGCCGCCGAGCCCCGAGCGCCCGCCCAGCGCCAGCCGCCCGCTCCCGCCGACGGCGCAGACCCGGCACCCGTCGAGGAGTCCGAGGCGCGGCCGGACGGAGAGGGGTCACCGGGGAAGGCACGGCCGCCCTCCGCCCGCAGGCCAGCGGCTGCTGCGCCGGCGGATAGAGACGACCGAGGGCCCCCCACCAGCGTGGCGGCACTCAGATCCAACTTCGAGAAGATCCGCAAGGGACCTGCCCAGCCCGGCTCTGGCGACCCTGAGAAGCCCTTCTACGTGAACGTCGAGTTCCACCACGAGCGTGGCCTGGTGAAGGTCAACGACAAAGAGGTATCCGACCGGATCAGTTCTCTAGGCAGCCAGGCCATGCAAATGGAGCGCAAGAAGTCCCAGCAAAGCACTGGGCAGGGTCTGGGGGAAGCGCCCAGACCCCACTACCGCGGGCGCTCCTCGGAGAGCAGCTGTGGCCTCGACGGTGACTACGAGGATGCGGAGTTAAATCCCCGCTTCCTGAAGGACAACCTAATCAATGTCAACGGCGGCAACAGGCCCCCTTGGCCGCCCCTGGAGTACCAACCCTACCAGAGCGTCTACGTCGGAGGTATGATGGAAGGGGAGAGCAAGGGCCCGCTCCTGCGAAGCCAGAGCACTTCGGAGCAGGAGAAGCGCCTCACCTGGCCCCGCAGGTCCTACTCCCCCCGGAGTTTTGAGGACAGCGGAGGAGGTTATACCCCGGATTGCAGCTCCAATGAGAACCTCACCTCCAGCGAGGAGGACTTTTCCTCCGGCCAGTCCAGCCGCGTGTCCCCAAGCCCCACCACCTACCGTATGTTCCGGGACAAGAGCCGCTCACCCTCACAGAATTCGCAGCAGTCCTTTGACAGCAGCAGCCCCCCGACGCCACAGTGTCAGAAGCGACACCGACAGTGTCAGGTTGTGGTGTCTGAGGCTACCATCGTAGGTGTCCGCAAGACCGGGCAGATCTGGCCCAGTGACGGGGACAGCACCTTCCAGGGGGATGCAGGTGAGTACCAGCGTGGGTGTACTTGGACCTGCTCCGGACTCTTTAAGTAGATTGACCTGGGGAAAATGGGTACTTTTTGGCGTGATTTTCAAGTGCTTTTGTGTTTCCCTGGCCCTGCGCCTGAACTGACTCCACCCCCTTCATCCTGAAGGCAAATGGGATGGGGGTGAGGGGGGACTGGAGGAAATGGCTGGTGGCTTACTCTCTTGGTCTTAACTCTAAGCCGGTGGGTTTTGCAGAAGCATAGGGAGATAGACGCCCCGTGCTCTCTCCATGTTGGACAAAAAAGTCAGGGCCATCTTTGCCACCTAGATCAGCTCCTTTGAGTGGGGAGTGACCCGTGCTTGGATAGTCTCCGCCGCCTGGTTGTCCTGGTCTTGGAGCGGTTATATGGCACGTTTAGGGGAACCCAAGACGTGCATGCTGCCTCAAGGTCTTAGATGTGTCCGATTCGCTTGTCAGCGGGTGAGAGCAGATGGAGACAGGAGTAGGAAGGGAGTAGTGCTGACTCAGTGGGCCACTGGACATCAGTAGGTTGGGGATTCATGTGGGGCTAATCTGTCATCATCCTGATCGACTTGGCTTTCATGTGTCTGCTTCACCATTCCTCCCGCACAGAGCACTCCTCCATCCCCTGCCGTTGGACTTTGTCTGCCTCTTTCTTTTTGCGGTACTGGGGCTCAGACACACTTGAGGCATGCTGCACCCCTAGATCCAGCCCTGCACCGTGGGGTCTCAGTTACATCTCCAGACCTCACCTTCTCTTCCCATCCTCCGGTCCCGTGTGCCTGTGCCTCCTCGTCTGCCCTGGGATGACCCTCAACAGGTTATTGTTTTGGGCTCCTAATCCATGGTCTGACTCCAGCACTAAGATGAAATGATAACTTGTTTACTGCTTATAGGTACCGCTGGCTATGTGGGCAAATGGGACTGGGTTTTGAGATTTAGGCAGAATTTTCAGTTGGAGTAAAAAGGGAGGCGGAGGGGTGCTAGCAGGCATGGGATTTGGGGGTGTACAGCTGTCAGGAATCGCTTGGAGTCCTTGCCGCTGTTGGGCTGATGTGGTCTTTTGCTTCAGTGATTTTTTTCTTTTCCTGCTGATGGAGTTGCACGTGCTTCGTTTGTCAGAATCCTTTTGAAACGGCGAAGCTATTTTTGGCTGAATTAAGCTGCCTTTCTAAGCTCGGTGCTCTGCCCTGGTTAGGTGCCTCCAGTTGCTGCCCTTCCCAACCTGCATCTGGGTTGACGGGCTGTGCCATGCGTAGCTGGACCTGCCTGCCCGTATCCTGGTTCAGCTGCATTCCTTATCTCTAGTGGACGGTTGAGAAGCTGTGGGAGTCAGAAGTTGGCTTTATGGGCATATTAATCAGCTCCATCCAGGTCTGGAGGCTTGCCCAGTGATGACCGGGCACCAGCCATGTCCAGCCAGCTTTTTGAGAATTGAACTCGCTTGAGCTGGCCCTTCGGTGCTATGGTGATTGAGGACGTTATTAATAAAGAAGAACATGAGAGGCTTTCATGGAGACCTGCAGTCTGGTACTCTCAGGGAACTCTGAGTTTCCAGAAAGCTGAGCCTAGCCTTTCCTGTACCTACCGTAGAAATGGCCATGTTGCCCTCCACATAATGAGCCCCTAGTGCAAGTCAGAGTAGGTAAAGGTAGGAAAACGGGAAGGAAGCGGGGCCTGAGAGACATACAGGATAGCTTCTCAGGAAGTGACTTAGAAGTTAATTTCCTATTTTAGAACTTTCAGAATCCTTTGACTACCCTGAAGCCCCACATTCTCTCTTATTTTTCCCTAAACATTCTTTTGTGTCTTTTTGACACAGGACCTCCGGATGAAGTCCTGTCTAGCTTAAAACTTGCTATGTAGACCACTGCAGGCCTTCATTTTGCAGCGAGCTACTGCCTCCCAAGTGCACCACCATACCGGTCTCCCTCAGACTTGTTTCTTTCTTTTCTTTTTTTGAGCCAGGGTGTTACTATGTTGCCCTCACTACCCTAAAACTGACTTTGTAAACCAGGCTAGCCTCTCAGTCACAAAGATCTACCTGTGTCCTCCTCTGGAGCCCTGGGATTAAAACCGTGTTCCAACATGCAAAGGGTCCTCAGACAGACATTTTTAGCAATTAAGTTGAACAGCATCACCTACAAGGACTGAGATGTGGCTTAGTAGTGGTGTGAACTCTGGGTACAGTCTGCCATACCATGGTGAATAATCAAATAATAAACCGGAGTGCTCAAAAGCAAGATTTTACTGTTTTTTTTCTTAGATCTTTTTTTTATAGTTAAAATTATCAGAGCACTTTGAGGTGTGTAGCAAAACTGAATGGGAAGCTCACAGACTTCCCATATACCCAAGTGCCTCCACATCTGCCTCCCCTGTTAGCAGCATTCCCCACTAAAGGGGTACACTTGTGACAGTTCAGAAACCAACACAGACACATCGTGATTACTTGTCACATATAGCTTACGTTAGGGCTCTCTCTTAGTTTCTGCACTGTGTGAGTTTTGTTCTTCTTGGCCTTAACATGCCCAGCTGTTGTAGCCCAACAAACATTTAAACTGCGCTGAACCCTCTTCTCTGTCCTGTAGGGGAGGGGGAAAGGGTCCCTGCTCAGCCATCTGTCTCTGTTGGGACTACTTACTGATGTTCATTAGATGGCTGTGGGTGGGGCTTAGTGGCCTAAAGGAACAATAAGAAAAATTACAGTGTGTGTTTATATGGGAGTGGGGGAGGTCACCCTAATGTTCTGTCAGGGCAGGCACAGTGGCCCAGCTCTGGTAATTTTCGAGTCCCTTCAGATGAGTTGCAAGGGACATTAAGGGAAGGAGCGGAAGCCATCACACAGTGCTCTGTGCCTTAAGCAAGGTCCCTCATGAGCTCTTCCTTCACCTGGTGGTGGGCTGTCCATCCACATAAGGATGCAACCGAGAAATAGCAAAGATGAAGTTCGTGGGTGTGTGAACCCAGAGCTCCAGGCCTTCTGGCTCATGGTACCGTGTTCTGTTTCTTCCTGGTGCCCAATATGTCTACCTGGAAATCAGAAGTGGGTGTGTTTGGGTCCTTGTGCATCCAAACCTGTGAAGGAAAACCAGACAGGCATGGACCTTTTTCTACACGGAACCCTTCTCTTGGTCCTTTGCCATCTAGAAGCTTAGGAGTTAAGAGGGGATGCATTCGTCCATGTTTAGACGGAAGTGAGATCAGAGACTCTCAGAGCTTTCCTGGTGTCTTAGCAGTGGTCCAGCAGCCAAAGGTGTGGGGAGCCATCTGTTCAAGAGTGGCAGTGAAAGATGGGGTCCCAAGTTCACCTTCTGTGACTCTGGAGTTTGTGTGTGTTTGGGAAGGGACAGTATTGGGACAGGGTCTCCCTATATAGCTAGCCTAGACTGGCTTTGAACTTCTGATCATCCTCTCTCTACTCTCAAGTGCTGGAATTGTAGATTTGTTTTTAAACTAGAAATACATGTAATATAAAAGCATTTCATTGAAGGTGGCTGAGGCAGGATTGTAAGTTTGAGGCCAACCTGAGTTACATAGAAAGAGCTTATCTTTAAAGAAGTAGAAATAGGAAGCATTTATCAAAGGGAAAGCAATGTCAGGAATGGAAGTGAGCTCGTGAGCCAAGGGAAAAGCATGTGCTCAGACCAGGAATTTGTTAGTTTGAGACGGGGTCTCACTGCGTCGCCACGGCTGGCTGGATACAGGCAGTAAAGAGCAGGCCTCAAACTCAGAGATCTGCCTGCTTTTACCTCCCAGGTGCTGTGCACCACCAGAAACTTTCTAAAGCTAATCAGCCCAAAATACTTTCAGAACCTGTTCTGCCCACTTTTCAGCCTGCGGTTCTGTGACACCGAGTGCCTGCATGTGGCACACCTGTCACGGTTGCAGAGATTCTGGCTCTCATGGGCAGCACATTCTGCTCCCGGTGCAGAACAGCACCAGTGCTCCTTTCTGCTTCTGTGAGCTGGAGGTTCTGGGTGACTCACGTTGGTATGATCACACACTGTTGGTGTTTTCACAACTGGCTCCTTTTTCTTAAGTGTAATGTCCTTGGTGTTTACCCACCTTATAGCAGGAACTCAAGTTGCTTTTTGTCCATCTATCTGTCTGTCTGTCTTTATCATCTATCTATCTATCTATCTATCTATCTATCTATCTATCTATCTATCTATCTATCTAATCTCCATCCATCTATCCATTCATCTATCATCCATCTATCTATCCATCCATCCATCCATCCATCCATCCATCCATCCATCCATCCACCCATCCACCTGATTTAAGAGCTTACCATGTTACCTAGGCTGGCCCTAACTCCCGAGCTCCAGCAATTGTCTTCCCTCAGCCTCTCAGACAGCGGGTACAGTTAATGTGGAAAACCACACAAGGCCCTTCCCTCCTTTAGACCTGGGGGAATAATGTGATTGAAACATCTACTCCTTTGCTCCCCAGAGCCTGTTGTATGTGTGCCCCTTGGATTTATTTTTCCTGGGGTTTAAGCATAGGGATTTCCTTGCTGAGCCCATGCTGACCTGCCAAGCTGCTCCTAGCCTGAACTGAGGGGTCTTGTGTTTCACTGTGGCGCTCAGTGAGTTATCATCCCTTTCGTTGAGCATCTTCATTTACCCCTTGGGTATTGGTGCCGGAGTGCCTGACCCCTGGGTTGTCCTTCTCTTGGGTAGTTGACTAGAAGATGACTAACTGATTTGCGTGGGTGATTGTGGACCATTAGCCTTCACGCGGGCCTTCTGATGGCTCAGTCATGGCCTCTTTAGACCAGAGCCCATGGCTGCCTCTGACTTGAGTTCAGGCTTCCCCTGAGCAGAGGTGGAGGTGGGTGATTCAACAGGTAAACAGCCTGAGGTGTTTAGGGAACAGAATAAAATATTTGAGACTTTTCTGTAAGGGAACTAAGAGGGCTGTCACAAGCCTGCCCTGTGATTCTCTTTTAATTTGTTGCCTTTGGCTTTAGAACACATTATCTCCTCATTGGT